ACAGTAAAATAATCACACTGTGACGCCTCTGCCTTTGTAAATGCAGGGACAGTAACTGTGTGTCCGGGGAAAAGAGGACGTTGGTCACCCTAGTGGAGCATGTGCAGTAGTTAGCAAGGAAGGAGTTGCAGTTTTGAAATAAATTCTTCTGATGCTCCTGCTTGTGCTGTTGTCAGTCAGAAGCTGTGGAGAAGAGTGAAGAACAAAGAGCTGAACGGAAACTGAACGTTAAGAACAGTGCAGTCGCTGTCTGTGGTTTTCATGCTGTTTTATTGTTATTTCTTTAATCTTTGAATTGTTTTCACAGTTCTCCCATTCTGGGTGAACTCTGCTGTTGCTTCCAGCAACATGCAGTCAGGTGATGTAGGGCTGCACAAAAGTGCACCTGGGGTGGGCGAAAATCCTCCGTGACCCCCAACCTTCCACCCAAATGGATAGATGGAGATAACAGTTTGGATGATGTTTTCATGGTTGAGTCTGGATGGTGTAACAATGTTTGGATGATTATGGGATGGCTGGAGCCAGTTCTTCCACTTAACAGATGGTTTTTGTTCCGATCCCTGGCTGCTCCAGTCTGCGTGCCAAATATTCTCGGGCAAGATGCTAAACCAAGCGGCTCTGTGATGCTTCCACTAAAGTATGAATGTGTGTGAATGTCAGACAGTAAGTAGGTTGTATATGTTGTGTTCAGCTAGAGCAGAAATGTGCTACAGTGGAACCAGTCAAGTTACCATTTCAGCAGGTTGAGACTTTTATTACATGATTAGTCTGGATCATCATTTTACTGGATCACAATGGTGAGTTTAGTGGATCATGTTGAGTTTAATGAGTGTTTTTGTGCTTATCAGTGAATTAAAGGTGTAACAGTATAAACACAACACACATAGAAATGTGATACTGATATTTAAAGACAAAATGTGCCAGAGTTGTGTTTTCATTTGTAGCCGTTCACCTGAAGAGCTTCAGAAACGTTGTTATTTTTTTGTGTGTGACTAAACGGTTAAACTGCTTTTATTACCTGTTCACTATTTACTATAAATACTGTCCGTAGATTCTCGGTTGGCTGCTCATCGCTCTCATCATGTTGACGAACCTGCTGCTCACCTGTGTGGCTCGGTGCTGCTCACCTGTTAGCTACCTGCAGCTGCAGTTCTGGAAGGCGTACGTGCACGAGGAGAGCACTCTACTCGACTCCTATACGGCTAAGCACGCCAAAGCGTTTGCTGAGAGAAACCTGAAGAGCTTCTTTGAAAAGACACCACCTGAAAATGTCCTCACACCCTCCAACCGAGACTGGCAGAAGATCTCCTCTCTCTACAGGTTCACCAGCAAAGATACCTACTACAGCACTTTGCACCGATATGTGGAGAACTGCCAGGAGACTGACAGCGGCATGATGAGGATGGCTTCAGTCAAGTCAAACGAGTCGTTAGAAGCTAACCCAGCTGTTCTTAATTTTGTAGATGATGGGAGAATGCCACTGTGAGTCACATTAACCCACATTAAACTGTAAAAGGTGTT